ATTTTTTACATAAGTTTTTAAAGAAATTAGTTTTTTAATGTATTTTGTATAACGTGAATTATCTATAATGCTTTAATTTTTTATAAAGTAAATGATGTTATATTTAATCTTTTCAAAATAAACCAAATATGTAAATAAATATATCTTTGATAGTTATTGCTAGAATTGTCCTTTTCTGTAAAGTCATTGTTAACGAGTACCTCTAAAATTCTTAATAACTCAATTATTAAACACAAAACTTACCTAGATCGTAAATTACCTATAAAAAAATGGAAAAGTCCACAAACACATAGACAAAAACGAAACCGGCCAGAACGACATAAAATGCGAAGGCGAGAGGAGCTTTTGAAGACGTTCGGCGGCCATTACTCGGGCTCTTGCCTTGGCCAATAAAATGAACGGAGAAAAGGCCATCAGCACAGCAGAGGGATTGGCCCTGAGCGAGTCCCATTCGCGGTTTGAGGCGCCTCTGAAAATTTCCAAAACAAAAGCCAAATAAAGCTGGGGTCGAAATTGATTTTGCGGTAGCCCAGGCAATAAATGTTGCTCTGCCCAGCTGTTAAATACAAGTTGACCAATGGAATTGGGCAAGGGGAAAACGAAGAAAAGCATTTGTGCACTGTAAAAAACATATGATTCTTATTTAAGTTATGGTGTTTAAATTAGTGATTTATGTCAATTTTGTTTGAAAAAAAATTGGTTTGTCAAAATAATGTAAAACAAATAAAATTGTATTTAACATAAACTCGAAAATAAAAATTATTTTCGATTACAAAATTTGTTTATATATTTTTGGGATGCAGCCGTATTTGAAAATGGGTCTTAAAATTATTCAAACTGCAGTTTTTATCATTTTTGAATTTTTATAAATTTTTTAACAGCGTCGCCAGGTTGAACTTGCCTTTAATATTTCTTTTCACGCAATTACAAAATTATGTTTTATTTTCCATACCAATGTTGTTCAAAGAAGTGTATGGTTAATACTAATAAACAAAATAATTGTATTAAGGTCATATTATGTTTATTAATGTTTTTGAGTTTAAAATCTTTATTTTTCAGGAAAATCTTTTAGAAAAGTGTAAGTTACGTTAATGAACATTTATAGTGTAGCGTAGTGTTGTTGGGACTTACCTCATAAAAAAACTAATTTGACGTACAATTGTAAATAAGTATAAATTTTTATGGTATACCCCATCAGTAATATTGAATTTTGTTTAAGTAATTTTTGAGCCAGCTCACAGGATAAAAAATAAAATATTGCGATTAGATGTGGTTCCAGAATTTTTAAATATATATATGTAAAGTATAAATGAAAAATGTCTAAAGTAAAAACTAGCATTTCACGTATTGGCATAAATAAAGCCAAATAGCTAAATGCTTGTGGGAAATTCCGAAATGATGATCAAATTTCGTGCAATTATTTCTTTGTGTGCCAATGCAATTTCGTTGCGGCCTTGCGCAGTGCACAAAAGGTTTGACAAAGTGAGAAATATGCATGGCAAACAAGGAGCACAAGAATTCCACTACCCTTACCCCGACCCGCCCCCTGCCACTCCCCTTTCGTTCGTTCAACTGCAACGAGAAAATATGATGACATATCGCGTCATAGTTCAAACGGCAGGGAATCCACTGATCAATTTTGTACACAGCACGGCGCCATCTTTTTGGCCCTTGCATGGGAGCAGGATTTTACTTTTTTTCGAGGATTTAGTATGCATTGCGATGGGCTGGGTGATGGTGGCGGGGGTGGGGGTGGAAGGGGGAGGAAGAAGGGAGGGCTTTTGGCCTGGTCAGTGGCGCACTGTGTGTTTTGTTATGTATCTTTTTTTCGGTTGCTTTCGCTTCGTTTCGAGTGAGCCAAATCGCAGGCCATAATTTTTTATTATCCCAAGCCCAGGGAAAAAGAGAGCGGCTGTTGGCTTCCGTTGGTGGAGTTGGCTCTTGGCCCGGAGTAGCCATAAAAATAATTAATTGGCTTTTATGTGGCAGGAGCCGTTGAAATTTCGCTTGTTTCTCAACCTCATTCCATTCCCTTCCGCATCATGGTCCTCGACTGGGCAATGCAATTTCTGAATTGCATTTGCCTGCTTAATTAGCCATATTAATTATCTTCATAATCAGCATCGGTTTTGTGGTAACACACACATACACATACACACACACACACACAAACAGAGCTCATTTCCGCTTCTGGCGGCGGCCATTTTGTTTTTATCCGTGGCTGTTTTGGCGATGTAATTAGTTTTTGCGGTTTTTCATTGGCCATTCGACCGCAAACTCAATTGCCGTTTCATTTGTTTTCCCCGTGGACTATTTCGATTAGCATTCTGTTAGATCTAAAGTTAGATTCCGTACAACTCTTCGTTGTGAATGTGGTGTAGCCAAAAATTGCCAAAAATTAAATCTACATTTACTCCTAACTTAAAAGTAAAGCTATCTGCATATAACTTCCCCAAAAGTTGTCTTTCGATGGCAGAAGGTATATAAATCGGAAAGAGCCGGATTGGACGACTAGATCAGAGCTCCTATAAAAACAATCGAAAAAATAAATTAAACAAGAGTGGTTTTTCAATTTATTTGACAATAATTCGATTTAGTAGTAATATTTTAATATTTCATAGTTACTGGTTTAACGACATTATATAGCTGCAATAGGAACGATCTAAAAATTTGTACTCGTTATTTTAAAGAATAATAATCACTTTTTATACCCTTGCAGAGAGTAATTGCATTCAAAAGCTTGAAATGTATATCATATCATATCATTTAATTGTTATATCAGCAAAAAACCTACATTGCTATTTTTTTCAAACATTTACGCTTTCAAATCGAAATATGGTTGTTTTATGCAATACCTGGTTTATACAATAGCTGAAAGAGTATATAAACTTCGGCATGCCAATGTTCTTTCTTTGTTTTATATTAATATTTATTACCATGCACTGAAATTTTATATAAATTTGTCGTTAGTTTTTTTTACTCACTGTACATACTTAGAAATGTTTGTTTTAAAATGGTACTCTATTTTCATTTCCAACATGTGAAGTTTTTATATTTTAAGGCGTACATTTTTCACTAAAGTTATTCACTTGATTAACAAACGAACTTTTTTATTCACGTTTGTCAAGGGTTTTGCTTAACATTATACATTTCCCAACCTTTCTTCTAGATGGCTTCACGCCACTCCTCTTTATGAAACCATCATCATCATCATTCGTTATCATTAATTTATGCAAAGAACACTGCTGCACAGTATGAAGCATTTGCCTCCGTTGTTATAGCTGGAAAATGTTTTTCGTGGCATAAATCCCGAGAAAAATTATACGAAACTAGAATGTTTTTGAAAATACATGAGGCGAACGTCAACGCGAAAAATGAGTGGAATATGCGAGAAATTAATGGGTTATAAGAAACTATAAGATTAATAAACATAATTACTCAAAATCCCCAGTGAGGTTCCATAAGTAACGGAATAATTGGATAAGCAACGTTTTTTTTTAATTATACTAAAAAGTCTACAACGTAATTATGAAAGAATTGACTGACGAAAAACAAATCACTCCTGAATAAATTGACTTTATGAGTTGTTAAGCCAAACTAAGTTGGCACCAAATAAATGTTGATTTCTTGGATACTTTACAAGTTTAAAATTTTGATAAAATTTATTTAAGATACGTTCAGTTTATTCATCTTTCCGTATTTAAAATAATAATCAACTAAACACGCAAAAAGAGTTTTCAAAAGTCATAAATTAAAATAAGGTCTAAAGGTCAAATTAACACTAATGAGTTTTTGTAACTCAAAAAACTTATTAATTTAAAAGGGTCACGAAAGGCAAAAGTTGGTAAAACCAAACAAATAACCCTTAAAACCGAAATAATGAGAACGGTGTTTAAAAAAAGACGAATTTAACTGCGCAGTTTGCGGTTTGCAAAGGGCACGTCCCTAACAAATATATTTTCAGAATGTTTTCGCGCCAAATGGGAAATATAATAATAAAGACTAAAAAGCCCACAAAAACGCATAATATTGCTGATCTGAATAGTTCGATGTGTGTGCCCAAGTTAATGAAGCGGAAATGCAAATAATACAACCGCACACAAATATCCACGGGCCAATTGTTCACTTACCCGTCCTCTGATGACGATTAAGAAAAATTTCAACGGCAATGATGATGATGGCCATTGCATATACAAAGTTCACGTATAGTATGATCCATTGTTCCACAGGCCTGACATTTCCACAGGGGAAACCGAATCAAAAACAAATGACTAAGGCGAAGGTTTTTGGGATGCTGCGCTTTTGTTTTTCTTTTTTTTTTTTGGGCCTATGCCGCGACCTTGTCCTGCAAACAGTAGGATAACAACAAACAATAAAAGCCTACTTCATAACCGAAAATGGGAAGATGAATGACAGGATTTTAGAACGAACGCAGTATGCCATTGCAGTTCATTGCTTTCGTTTATTTTTTAAAGAGCCAAATACTTTACCTGGGGTCGTGAATTTATACGAATTAGGTGAACTACTAATTTCTTTGGCTCATGCTGTTTGTGAACCTAAGAAAAAATACTTTTAAAAGCTTAAAAGCTGGGAGCAATAAATTCGTTAAGATTTTTAAAGGAATATATAAATAAAAAAAAAATAAAAAACAAGTCAGCTAAATGGGGACAAATAAAATTATATTCATTCTGCCCGCAAAATATAATAATATGAACATTAGGGTAGAAAACTGAGTAGTTTTTAACAAATTAAAGTCTTTATTAGTAATCTTAAATATATGAACATTAACAAAATACAAAAAAAAAATTATTTTTTTAAATTTCTAACTGTTTGTATACAACCCCTTATTATTATTATCTTTTTATCTATGTATTTATTAATTTGTGATTGGCGCATTAATGTAAAAGTCTTTTACTTGTAGTGTCGGGATAATAAAAATACATAAATTCATAGACTTAATGAACAAAATGCATAAATCATATAGATAACAACTCATTCGGTTGGGGTAATAACAGTTAAGCTTATGCTGTCATTTATTCGACGACTAAAGGATACAAAACGGACAGCATTGGAATTCAGATCCTGCCTTTAATACTACACATTTATTCAAAAATATGTTGCATGCTAGCTGCTCTATTAGGCACATGATTTTCGTAAAATTTGTTTATGACAATTTGCATCATAATATAATTGTGATGGTGTCGAGCTCGGCTTAGCAATTTTGTCAAAGTTTTGGTTTTAACTAAAGTAATGGCTTAAGCCAGGCAGGGCAAAGGGTTTCTTTTTGCTTTACTGATTTTTGGCCTCACTCTTCAAGAGTTGTTGGTGTTGAGCCTCACGCCTCTGCTTGGAAACGTCGAAGGCCGTAATTGGTTTCCGGGGACGAGGTCCGCCCTTGGTTCGGAAACGCTGCTGGCGCACAAAGAGCGGCCTGCGCTGGTTGAGCCACCAGTTGAAGTCCGGCGGAATCCGGCCGAACTTGCTGACCAAGTTCCGGTGTCGCTGGATGTCATCGCGCCTCTCGAGCCATTTCCGGCCGTATTCCCAGCCCAGCAGCCAGCCCATGACGGGCTGCTTTTCTTCGCACAGCTCCGGAATGGGTTCCGGCCGATCTGCCGGCGGAAGGATCGCTGACCCATGATCTCTGGCCGGAATGAGCGGTGAACGGCTCCAGGTTTTTATTCTTGAAATCATAATCGTGTGGAATTGTTAACTCTCTCTTTTTCACTTGTTGTCGTGTCGGTGGTGTCTGTTTTTCAACTGAGTCTGGCTGACGACTACGGTCTCCTACTCGATGTGGCAAGGCCAACTATTACATGTTGGAAAGTCATTGCCTATACTAAAGAGTGCCTCAATTCCGATATAGCCATTACTAACTGCTCTGCTTTAAACCTTATTGCCTGGCACAAAGCGTATGGTTTATAAAAATCTAAGAAAAATTTATACATTCTCAAAATTTTACTGACTTTAAGATATTTAGATATATTTAAATTAAAACGAATTGTATTAAAAATGTGAGAGTAGTTTTTTTTTAGGTTAGACAATGTTCTTAGTTATGATGGTATAATCAACTTGTACAGAAAATGTACTATTTATGATTGAATAAAAATTATCTTATTCTCAGAATCTTGTCCTTTTATTGATTAACTTACTGTAACTAATTGTAAAGAAACTGTGACATTTTGAATATTTTACCACTTGCTCAAATCAGATAATAAATGGTTACGACTTTACAGTAACTTTCAAACTTTACTAAATTGCACCTACACTTTCAAACGAAACTGAGAAAATACCTTTATAAGCAGGTTTAACTTTTAACCGTAGACTTCATTAATTCCTAGATTTTTTTAGAAAACTAGATAATATGTCCTACATTTTTTTTATTTTACACATTTTGGTTATAATTTGATTTAGAACGCCTGAAATAAAAAATATTCTAACCGTAGACTTTATTAATTCTTGAAACTTTGAAGAAAACAAGATACCATGCACTACATATTTCTTTAATATTACACATTTAGAAAACAATTTTATTCAGAACACCTGAAATTAAAAATATTCTTGAAAATTAACAGACATTTTTTAGAAATTTTTTGACTTGATACAAAATTTGCGTAAGCATTGTAATTGAAAAACAGCAGAAATCAATAAAGAGGAACAACCTTAATCAGTAATAAATTAGCTGTTTTCTAGTCTTTTTTTGAGTGCGCTTTTCAAGCCAACTGCTGTAGTCGGGTGGAATGAATTTATGGCCTTTTTTGATCTTTTTATTGGTCATCTTGTCATGAATGTTGCGCTCTTCCAGCCACTGTCGACCGTAGTGCCAGGATAGAAGAAGGCCCATTTGGGGCTCCTCCTGCTCGTAGGTCGGTGTAAACGAATGGTGCCTTATATTTTTCTCGGCCAGCTCACTTTCTGGTCGGATAATCTTTGCCGGTATCCAGTAGTTTTTATTTGCCATATTGGTGGCTTTCTTGGTTTAAAAAATATAACAAATCCTACATAATATTTAGATCTCGCTCGAACCGATTTAGCCTGATGGAAAACTCCACGGTGGAATGATTTCAAGTTTTTACCAATTTCAAGATCAGTTTAACATCTAGTTACTTACAAAATTTACTATTGTCTTCTTTGGTATTGGTGCAACTAAGTATTAGATGCCCGTTACTCTGCTAAGCAATTTCAAAATAAATATGCCCCAAAAAATGATCCGGGTCTTAAGAAGCGGAAAATGTTTATTTATGCTCAGAACTTCTTGGTTCGATTAGGAACATTTTTATCTCAGACTGTCATGACATATTTACTTTTGCGATTTGTAGGAATTAGAGTGGGCGTAGCTACTTAAAATAAAATTCCAAAACTAAAACCTGGATTTGAAATCCAACATCTCTAACTTTTGTAGCTTCCGAGATCTCGACTTTAACACGGATAGACAGACATGGCTAGAACGACTTGGCTGTTGATCCCAATCAAGAACATAAACATTTTATTGGGTCGGAACTCTTTCTTCTACCTGTAACATACTTTTCGAGTAACATCATATAATAATTCTATCATTGAAGGATATTTTCTATTATGTAAAAATCGGTGCAATGACATTTTAACTTTGGCTTGCTGATGCTGACATCCGTTTTTATATTTAATTTTAGATAGCTTAAATTAACATGAGAATGGTGTTGGTGTAGTGTTAAAAATTGAGATCTACAAACTAAAAATTAAATAATGTCTCAAAATAATCAATAGCAACCATGTGCCCTTATTGCATTTAAATACATATTTTATATACTTAAAGGACCATTTAAAGAAAGCTCATATGTATATTTGGCTTACCGAAGATAGCTTCATTTTGTGTTTTTTTTCACATATACAAATTTTGCCTGTTTTCATTGAGTTTCGATAGAAATATGATCTCAAATAATAAAGATACCGCTAAATTTCAGATTGTGATTGTTTTTGAGGTGAAAGATATTTGTAAGACTGCCAACTGCTAATTGAGTTAACACAAACTGGCTGAGGCGTACAAAATTCCGGACAAAAACCCGACAAAAATGTTGCTAATGGACATAATAGCTGAACGCGAACACAATCGAAACAGACAACAAGCCGCCCATCGACAAGGGTCGCAAATTGGGAGGAAAATACAAACAGATGTAAATCTGAGCGTAAAACCCGAACAACCCAAAAGTGGAGAAACTGGAAATGTGAAAAGCACGGCATGAGGGCAAAGTCAGCGGGGGCGACCAATAGGTCAAGTACGAATTGCATTGGTCCATATCCACATACTATCGGGGGCTGCGGAAGTGAAACAGTGGGATGGAGCTCTAAAGTGCCCAGAACAACGCGTGCCAAAAGGTGCAAAAGGCCTTAAACGGAAATGAAAAGACATCTGTTTTTGTAGTTCCTATTATTCATTCACAATTTACAATAAACCATTATGCAATCAAAGTTTTTCGAACTTGCACTGTAACCTGGTTTAAAATTATAGGTATTCAATGACCACGTGGTCGCAGCATGATCTGAAGTCGGCAAAAATTCTTCATCTTTCCTTTTGGTAATTAATATCTATCAGTGACACAAACATTTTGATCTTATATGTTAAAAGTTATAGGGTTATGCTGTCCACTGCCGTCGCTCTGCCGCTGCTCTGTCGGTGATCGCTGCAGTAGTGTTGTGAGTAGCTAATCTAGTAAGTGTAATCAAAGATATATTAGAACACTTGCTTTCTTTTATAAGTGTACTCTGTTGATCTTACTACCAGCTCTGTCGCTAGCCCAGTTTGTAAGGGAATTCGTCAAACAAATCTTTTTGGCCCCAACGGTTAGTTAGCCCAAATACATTGCGATTTGATTGACTGCGATCGTCATGAAATTCTTACTTCGATGAAAGTCATATTTGGCCGGAAACCAGCGAAGTTGGCACCACTGGTTTAGTGTTCGTCGGTGACTGCTGCTCTCCTACTCGCACACCTCTCTCCTGCCACCGTCCTTGTCTGGCCTTTACCGTTGCGCTCCTCTGCCCGCCTGTCGTCATTTCTCATCGTCGCTCGGTTGTTTCCTTGTAATTTGTCACCGCTGGAGCTCATTTCTGCGGCGTAATTTGTTTGCAACTCATTTCGGGATTCATTTCCATGGCTTGTCTCTTTTTGTTGTTTGCTTGCCTTTGTTTTGGTCAACGGTCTTGGTGCATTTAATTAAAATTATTATTGCTTGTAATTGGGGAGCGGAGGCGAATAAGAAAGGGTTATTCATAGAAATGTGGATTGAATAAACTTAGTGAAATTATTGCGCAATTGGGGAAAGCAAAAAGTTTACAAAATAATGTAAACATAGGGGGCAAATTAACATTTATTTTTGGGCTGAATCAAACTCCCTTACTTTTTTTTACTGCTTAATAAAAAATTTTTTAAAACATTTGTCGATTCATAATGGGTTTATTTCAAACCTGAGAAGATCCTTTATACTTCTTCGATTCAAAATATTGACAGGATTGACTTTGTTAGCTTTGAATACTTAACTAATCATTAATATAATTTGTCCTGATAATATGGCACTTTCGGCTTGAAATTTGACGATACAAATTTTTTTAATTTCGAGTTTTTGTTTTGTATGATATTCTAATCAAACTTCAATTAAACATCTTAATGGGTCATCCTCTTCAAAGAAATTTAGGAAAAAACAAGTAAAAAGCTTCACTGCGGCAAACCGAAGTAAGTCCTTACAGGCTTACTGACTTTTGATTAAAACCATAAAACTCACGGCAAGCTAATAATAATTAAAAAAAAATTATTTCATTTTAGTCAATATTAATACATGCTTTATATTACATAATACCAGCGAAAGTTACAGGTTTTTAGTAAAGAATGAAATAAAAAAGATTATGAAAAAGAGAATAGATAGAGAATTAAAGAAATTAGGTTTGCTTTGTTTATTGGTGAGCTTAATAAACGGTAATTTTAAGTTCTGTTTCGTGCAAAAGTTAAAAAAGTAACATTTGTTTTAATTCTGAATTGCAATTAAGAATCGAACTGCCTTTCTGCTATCGGGGGGTATAAGCGCCCTAAAGTATGCTCAAAGTGCAACTTTGGATGGTTTTAATAGTGAAAAAATTGTGACTTTAAGATGGCCATTGGGATTTCCATTTTGAATTCCTTTCAGTTTCATTTATCTTTCCCTTTTTAATTTTAGGCCCCCCACAAACTAAACTCTTTCAAAATATCTTTCCACTCACTTCATTACCAACTGAGGCATATCAATTTGGCCTATCCAGACGAAATCATAAAAGCCACTTCAGAAAACTAATTTTTGAGCATTAGAAAGGTCTGGGCATACATATATGTCTGTGTGTAGTTTCCCCGACTATTGTGATCCAGCATGACTTTGCTTTCAAAACATATTTTGTAACGGCGAAAAGTCGATAACAAAAGCGTAACACTCTCGGGAAGCAAGAAAAGTAGAAAAAAAAATTGCTCAAGTACACGCACTTTTAAACGCAATTACGTTGAACTTTGGCACAAGAGCAGGGCGAGGGGCATCGAAATGTTGAAAAGAACTGTGCGTTTATAAAAGTAATATGTGCGTACGATCTCACAGAGGCAGTTTTCATTGCCTAGGGGCGAAACTTGAATCGGATTTGTACTCTGTTGACTTCAACGCTGCTCCTCCCTACTTCTCATAGTTGGACAACCCAGAACGCCCCAGGTGAAAATAAGGAATAATTCTTAACTAACTAGCTCTCGAACGACGGAATACCCTGAAATAGAGCTTGCAAGTCATATGATTTTTTAAATTTGAGAGAATCAGGTACAAATACACAGAAAAACTTTCGACAACACTATTATTTAACTTACGCATCAACGTAATCCTTATGTTTCAAATAATCTTTAAGAATTTTGTGTTATATCCTGACACTCATATCATAAGATTGTAGTACATTATACATAAATCTCTTCCAAATTGGTAAGAATAAAATCAAACATTCATAAAAATGTTAGCTGAATTTCCCTGGTTCTATAGTTAACAAAGAGATGCAGGTAAATGTTTAAATTTTTGTTTATTGGCATTAGGTTTAAGGTATTGAAATTAGGCTGCACTTACTTTAGATGGAACTATGGGATATATAGGATAAGGGACTAATATACCCACAATTTCTGCAATTACCGTGTGCTATTAAACGCATGCCCAGCAACAACAATAACAATAGCTAAAGCAACAACTACGACGACAACTGGAATGCATCATCATCATCGCAGTTCACCACGCTATTGCCATCTCGCTTGTCCAACGCCATTGGGGGTTTGGCATTGAGCCTATGCGAGGTAAGAGTTCCACTGTGCATCCCGTTCGCACTCCCGCTCGCATCCGCACCCAAGAGCCCTCGCTCTTTCACTCTCACTCCCTAATCCTGTGACCCTTTGTATGGGGATTTGCCTTTATTAGTTTGTCTAATTGCTTTTTGCAACAATTATTATGGCATTTTCCGTTGCTGTCGCCGCCGCGTTGTTGGTTTTCGCTGTAGAAAAGTATCACAGATGTGTGAACCCCGCGCTGACCCCCCGCCGATTTGCAGTGCTTTGATTTTGACTCTTCACAATATTCGTTATTATTCTACATACAAACGCTCATATTCGTATTTCAATTTTTTTTTTTTGGGTGTGCTTTGGTTACCATGTTCCATTTAAGTATAGTCCATGCGACGTGGTCTCTCTGGGCTACTACTTTTGTAATACTTTTTAATAAATTCTGTTAAAGAAGGCGTGAAACATTTCACTGTTTCAGCGTTTCCGTTTCTAGGGACCACCTGCCGCGATCGGGCTGGTCGGGGGTAAAGGGTCAAGAGGGGGAGGTCGGGGACAGGGAAAAGTGTTTTTCATTAAATTTTGAATTCCCCATTATTTAATTTGGTATGTTTTTGTTGACGAGTTTGAAGAGAGCAGATGGCTCTGATAAAATTAGTTTTTGTTGCATACTATTGGGCGCACATATAGCAGAAGTTATGCAAGGGTTTTATCATAATTTTAAAATTTTCTCTGTGATTCAAAACCT